GATATTGTAGCTAAGAATGTGCATTCTCTCAACACGTGGGAAGGAAAAATCATGCAGAAACAAAGGATTAATTATTTTTTCATATATATTACCATTGTGATTTTTTTTTTCCTAGTGGTGTGCATAACTCTAGTGCCCATTTCAATAAATGTTGAAAAATATAAGAAATCCTCCCTCAGCTTCACAAGGACCCACAGCCTATTCACATCTATTGTAACCAGACAGAGTTGCTCAGGCTATTTTATAATTCAAGACAAACAGAAGCAAGACTAGGACTCATTATTGTGAGATTTCAAAGGTCCTAATCAGTCAGTGGGAGTGGAATGAGTAACTTCTGAAAGATACCCTTTAAATCAGTGTTAATAACAGTCTAATTTGCCAGAACTGCTATTAGTTTCTTTCCCAATTGTTAAGTCACTACACATTCAGTCTGTGCATGTCCTACATGATCCCAAGTTACCTGACTGACGTATACACATGTAGGACAAAGCTGCACCACATTTACTTTAGAACTGGGAACCTAAATTAAATTTCTAGGGAATATATTCAACGGAGTAAAAGTTTAAACAGCTAAGAACATGTAATGATCACGGAAAGACCTCCTTTAACTACACGATCACTGCAAAACCTGAAGGAAACACTCAAAATCAGTACAGCAAGGGTGAAGCTGTACATTATGCTTGATATTATGTAGTACTGAGAGATAAAGGCACGTAAAATAATCTATCACACAACAAGCTGTAAAATATTTACATTTAAATGCAAAGTTGCTAGTAGAACTGCCATAGGAAAACATCTACATTTATTAGATAGACTTTTCAGAGTGCCTAGTACAACCTAGTACAAACGCCTTTGCAGACAGTCCTAAAGATACAGGTAATTGAAGCTTTAACCTGTCTGTAGACATTGATATAACAGGTTGTATGCCCATGTAATCAAGACCCAGTTTCATACTGACTGGCGTACAGCTGGCATGCACAGCGCTAGTTACAAAAAAATGAAATTATGACTCACAGGGAAAATTACAGTCGCACAGATTTCTGAGTGTGGCAAGCCTTGTAGAGTATACAGGCTTATTTGCATAATTAGCTTGTGCTTACACAACGTTCTCCATACTGTGCTGGCTTAAAACTGCATGTATCAGCACATCGTTATTTATTGGCACAAGAAGGGCAGCAATTAAACAGGCCCTGCTGCTGTCGCACAGCAGAGCTCAGCGCTGCCCTCCGCTCCCTGTGAGGAGCTGCCATGAGGCCTCCCCTCAGCTCCTCTGCTCTGGGCTGAGCACACCAGGCACCTCAGCCGCTCCTCACACCTTGCCCTCCAGACCTTTCACCGCCTTCATAGCCCTGCTCTGGATGCCCTCTGACAGTTTTATGTCCTTCTGGCATTGTGGCACCCACATGGCACGCAGTGCTGGAGGCGAGGCCCTGCAGAGCAAAGCGGGACAAGCCCTCCCCTCACCCAGCAGCAGTGCTGGGCCTGGCGCATCCCCTTTGGCAGCCAGGGCACACTGCTGGCGCACATCGACTTGCCACCAGCCAGAACAACAGAGCCCTTTCTGTGGGGCTGCTCTCCAGCCTCTCACCCCTGCATCAGTGAACGCTGTCTCTAATACAGCTCAAAAATGGGGATAGAAGTAATCTGAGACACCTTAAATGAGAGGCCAACTGCCACTCTTGAATTCAATTTTGCACCCATAGTACAGCCTCCATAGAGAGGAACATGCTGCTATCCAATCTGTAGGTGGTAAGAATAGCAGTGGCTTGAATCATTTCTGCTACGGAAAGAACTGAATCTAGACAATCATACTGCCATAGCAAATGTGTGTTGGTGTACTGACACAACCATTACGTTATGAAAAAGTGAAGAAATACCTCTTCCATCTCTCTTTTAGAAAGAAAATAAACATAAACCTTCTCTGAAAAGCACAGTCCAGCCAGTATGTCAAGTTTGTTACAAGCATGCCTATGGATCAGACCTCTTGGGCAACACGGCAGACAGGAAAAACTAAGATCCACCCTCAAATGGATGATAAGAGGAAAATTGCTGAGGCAGATCTCTACATGCACAGAAGTGTAACTCAGCAATTGAAGAGCGTTGGAATAACAGCAGAACACACCTACTGAGCCAGGTGTAGTCAACACCTTAAGAAAAGATACTTCAGGTGGCAAGCTGAAATATATTCACCTGTGTCATCAGATTTATTGCAGAGATTGTCTATTTCTTGTTGATTGCCCCATAACGGATATTTATTCTATTTTGTGACTTCTTTCATAAAGTTGTCTTCCAGCCAATTATTTAAGAATTTATGAAGTAACACTGAACAATACCCACAATTTCTTGCAAGACTGGGGGGGAGAAGAGAGGAATCAGTGAACAAGTCTTACACAGGAATAATTTAATAATAATTTAATAATCTTTGTTGGAAAGAGTGCAGGGTTTTTTTACTATGTTTTTGTCTCTAAAGTATCTGTACTCTCTGAAGTTTTCATTATTCAGAAAGGCTTGCCTTGAAACAAGCCTTTTTCTTTAGCAACAGGCTGAGTAACTGAATTGAATGTACATACAACGACCAGCTTAAGGCAAATGAATTTTGAGAACACAAACACAGTTGGTAGACAAACTGGACAATAACAAGGCTTTTAATTCCTTTTTTTTTTTTCAAATAAAATTAAACTTTGAATTCCTGTGAGAGTAGAGACGTCGGGTTGCTGTTTAATAGGAAGCACAGCGCATACTCTGCACAACACTGTATTCACGCAAGTAGAACTCAATTCTGAACAACTGATGACACTTTTCTTTTGCTTTGCAGTTCTTGCTGCCTTCCTTACTGTTAGGGCCCTCCGAAGCTTGGTACTTGTTGACTGTGTCACAGGGTGGCCATTTGTGCCACCCTGTGAGGGAAAGGACCCTCTGACACCTGTGGTAAGCAGACAATTTTGGTGTACACGTGTAAGAAAAAACACTACTAACAGAATCTTAGTATAAACTCCTAAAGAAAGCAATATTATGTGAACAGTTTCCCTGATTTCCTTCTTTCTTCCATGCATTCCTGATTATACATGTTGTCTTTTAGGGAGCATTACTGTTGCTAAGAACTCTAATGCCAACTAAAGTGGCTTGCTAACCTCTCATCAAGGGTTACACCAAACCCTTGAAGTTTCTGAACCATGTTAGAACAAGACAAAGGTAAATCAGTTTCATGTATGTTAATAACCGTTATGAAACAGATAAAGAGGTAAATCAATATTCACATAGAGCAGCACACTGTTAGATCAGCTAAAGAGGCAAAAACATCTTGATTTAAATGAGGTTGCAAAAAACTGACTGAATAAATTACTACAGTCAAACAAATAGAATGCTGGCTAAATGGGACAAAGAATCAGATTGATTCATGAGGCTGACATCAGAAAGAACTACTTTGTGTTAGTCTTGTCTTCAGGGAATTTCAGCAGAAATCAAGATCTAATCACCACAGCTATCATGTCCCATTGGTTAAAAAATAAAAAATAGTAAAAACATCACCAGAATCCTTAATACCAGAACAATAGTGCAGGTAATGAAACACCTGCATTCATCTTAAGAAAGTACCATCACTTAGATACTCCTTATAAAAACATTTCTACTCCTGCACGAAGTTGTGGATAACTGACCTTTGAGTTGGGAGCACAGAATTATTTTAGATTGTAGTAGTTAGAAAAGGCTTTCAAAGCACATTCTAAGTAGTTTTTGAACAACAGTACTTTTTAATCATAACCTTTTTCAATGATATGTATCAGCAATTATTGGGAAATAACCAAAATAATGTTACTAGGCCTGCACATACACACATAAGTTATAAATAAAGCCAACGTTCTTAAAACAGAATAATTAATAAAATAAAAAAAGCAAGAAGAAAATTAAGTCCAAAATTCTTCTTAGGATCTTTACCTTATGAATTTGATAATATTTGTTACTTGGAAGAGGACTGCTGTTGTCTGAAGTTTGTAATGCGTGTAATTTAATCATCAGTGGGTTGCAGATATGTCTGGTTGTCCACAATAATTTTTCCCTTTAAGGTCTTCCCCTTTTTCCTTCCCTGAGCGGTTTGCCCACTGAAAGCCAAAGGCGTAGAATTCTGGGCGTGAATGGCAGAGGAAAAGAATCACTTTTCTTCCACTTGGTCTTTGCTTTTATGGGCAAATTGTATACTCAGCACTGCAGACTACATTCATAGTTTCAGGACATTTAGGTGAATATAATACAATTCAGGTTTTGCTAGTAAGGCTCAACTGTATCCTACTGAACTAAATTTGTTATGATTCATATTAGAAAATGTTATAATTAAATGAAGAACAGACACATTAATCAGAGGTCATATACCCTTCCTAAGGAGACCTGCTATGCCTTGTAGTCATTATGCTTTCCGCTAGAAGCAGCTTTGCAGAACCTTAAGTATGGAGGGGCTAGGTCCTTCCCCTCCCTGTTGGAGGGGCCAAACAGCTTACCGGTACAAAACCTGTAAGAGTTAGTTCTTTGGGATGCTGAAATGGAGGAAAAAAAAATTTGTAAAGGCCAGAGGGGACTGCATGGAATTACAGAATTAGGTATGATTTAATTGTTTTTCAGGATACAGGGATGGAGCCACAAATGTACTTAGTGACCTAATGGCTCACGTATGTAAATACTCATATGTCCTTGAAATCATTGGAAGGTATTTAGAGGGAAAATAATACATGTAAAAGTCAATAAAAGTAATAGAACCCTATAAACCCTTGTGATCTGAACCCACCCCCCAATGCCTACATTTCCAAGGCTCGTTCAAAGTAGATCTACTGAAGCTAAGAATTTTAAAGCTAATCTAACATCAGCAAAAACACATAACACATCAAATCAGAAAGCTAATCAGACAGCACACAATAAAATATATATATTTATACATATAAATTATACATACTATACAGACTTTTTGGACCATATTCAAATTAGGTCTTAGAGAAGTAAAATGCAGCATCCAGTTATCTACTTCCCCATGTATTTCACGAACAGCACAAGTTATAACACTTCAGTTAACTAGTAAGAGAAAGTGGTGCACACACGATCACTAGACACAACAACATACTGCAGGCCATCTTGCTCTTTGCATACTTACCAATCTTGGAATATCCCATGAAGATCCTCCCATCCTAATGTGTGCTGACTTCCTGCAGTTTGCTTTATCTAATTCCATTTTCACTGAGCCATTAAGCAAAAAATGCTAAGAATTGCCATTTAAACTTTCCCCATAATAAAGGAGTTGAGGTGTTTTATGCCCCACCTACACAGTAAATTGATCCAGCTGATTCAAGAGCTACGACTCCCAAATTTAAAGGCCCAGTTTGTCATGGCTCTGAATACTGAGTTTGAGAGCAGCAAAAAATAGAGATATCGTGGTTCAGAACAATGAAAAAAAAATATCTTTAATCCACTTCCCCACCCATCATTCTTACTGCAATTAGCTTCACCCAGTTCCCAAGTTCCTATGTCAGAAGCCACAAACACTCTGCTGATCTGTGCTGACTCTTTGCAGCAGTAGTTGTCTGGTGAAGAAATTCCCTTCAAGAGCTGCCAGCATCTATCCATGCAGATAGGCTTCAAGCCAGTGTTCCCCTGACTCTTTCAGTGAGCTGCAAGAACAGAAAGTTAAAACATCATTTATGAGGAGACACTATTCAGCTTCCATTACAGAAAGAGTGCTTCTACATATCTTAATTGATACTTACTTCAAAATATCTACAAAAGCTCTGAGTAAAGTCTTGCTTTTATACTCAATGCCGTGCTTATCACAAAGGGCTTTCACCAAAGGAGCTGCTTTCCAGTAGTTGTGTCGAGGCATTGTGGGGAAAAGGCTGCAGAATTCAATGACACACAGTTATTGAAAGGCTTGGCTTGCAAAATGCCCTGTACCCATTGTTCAAATTACTTCCCAATCATCCCCCAGGATGAGAGCAAAAGATCTTCTGATGAATGTAGTTTTATTTGAGATAACACAGCCTTTCTCACTTCTAAGTGCCCATTATTATCACACTTCTCCCCATAGTCATACTCACTGGTGCTCAATTTGGAAGTTCAAGTGCCCGGTGAACCAGTCATTGAAGAAAGATTGGTTCACATTACATGTTGCATGAAGCTGGGAGGAAAAAAGACAATGATTTACATTTTATTTTTCTGGAAGTCTAGATAATTACACCTTACCAATCACCTTTGTCTAGCATAACAGACAACTTTTAGTGTCAGAGATTATTGCCTTAATTGACCTGAAGAATTAAACAAAGTCTAGCTTAAAATGGATTCTTGGAATAGAGGTCAATTTGGGTAGATTTTGCCTTAGGAAGAATAGTTTTTTTCACTGATGTGCACACAGGCCTGACTGATACTATGGGATGACAGGACCTTAGTGTATAATTGAGAACTGCAGGCCCATGGCTTCCAGAAGAAAGAGAATTCTCACCTGAGTAGATACCCAGTCATTGTTCTTGTCATAATCAATGTGCATTGGAATGTGGTTCATCTGCGAGACCCAAATAAACCATGTACTCTCTAGGTACCTGACCAGATAAACATAGAAACACATTTAATGTATCTAATTGCATCCAAACTTGCCATTAAAGCAGACATTTTGACATCTGACACAAAAAAAGGGCTGTGCAGGGAGTAGGGGCTGAGAGCTTTTCAGTGGCAGTTACCAAGACTCAAAAAAGTAATGGTCTTAAAATATCTGTCTATCTACCCAGCCTCTTGTAAGACTTATCTTACAGAGCACACTCGTAAAATTCAGCATTTTCTATTCCATTCCTTTGCCTCTTAAATTTTGGGGGAATTGCCTCCTAACTTTCTTTTGAGCCATGAAATCTGTCATAGCAGAGGTCCTTGAGCAGCCTCCCTCCACCCCCAACTTGTAATGATTTTCTCGGCTCACTACTTATTTATGAGCAAACTTTAATTTTGTAAAGTCTGACCAGTATGAGTTATACGACCATTTTAGTTATTTCCATTGACACTCGATATTGTTTACCAATATTAGTCATGGGGACTTTGAGTATGCTGTGTGTTACCTGGACATCCAGTAGTACACCATGAAATTGTTAAATCCCATTAAAGGAATATACATGAGGCAGACTCGGATGTTGTAAGACACCACCAGTAACAGCTCCTGTTAAAAAAAAGAAAAAGATGATGCCTTTTTTGAAGATATCCCTCATTTCCTCTTCTTCACATTATTTCAGCATAATAGATGTTCTTCCTATGATCTCTTACTTATCAAGTGTGAGCTCCATGCAATCATTCAGCCTGCTGTGTGTATCCCTGAAATATTCTCAGAGCACTAACTTTAAAATCATTAACTAAACGTATGTAATCCCACTCTGTCTAGGTCCCTTACTTTTCTGTTAGCTTTTGTCTACCTGCTGTGATGTTAAAAGTCATCTCCTGACAAATTCACTCTGGACTTGTTGAGATAAGCATTCCTACTGCAGCAGCCTAAAAAAACCCCTTTTTTATTCCAAACATCATAATCACCTTGGTTGAAATTTGACATAGCCACCTGGAAGTGCTAGGGGTCAGCCTTAGTAGGCAGCTAAGCACTACACAGCTCCTCGCTCACTTCCCCATCCCTGGGAGATGGGAGAAGAGGAAAGGAAGAGTAAAAGCAAGAAATTTTGTGAGTCGAGATATAAACTGCTTAATAACTGGACATGGAAGACGGAAAAAAAAATACACAGTGAAGCAAGAGATGCAAAAGCAATCACTCACCTCCTCCCACAGGTTGAGGTAGACTGATGTCCAGCCAGTTCCCAAGCAAAAGATGACTAATCTCCCTAAATCTCTTTTTTCCCCTTTTTATTGCTGAGCATGACATTTTATGGCATGAATAGCTCTTTGGTTAGTTTGGGACATCTGCCTGGTTGCATCCCCTCCTCTCACACTCTTGCACTAATCACTGACAGAAGGCAGAGTGAGAAACAGAGGTCTTGATGCTGCACAGAAGCTGTTTAGCCATAGCTAAAAGTGTGGTGACAGCACTGGTTTACTCACAAATCTAAAACAGCACTGTATGAGCTGCCATGAGGAAAATTAACTCCAACCTATCCACAGACAGTACAAGTGGTTACATTTTTGAAAGATTTCTAGACAGTGTAATCGGTGCTTACCAACCACTTTTTCTTCCTGATTGCAAAGTAGAATGTGGACAGCTGGAAGAAGGGTATAAGTGCAAGTGGGGCCAATACTGCAGGAAAGAATGAAAACAGAGAGATGTTTATAACTTTGCTGCAATATAAATCTTTCAGAAATATTCTCCTCTGCAGTGAGAGGAAAACTTGCTGGTTTCCATTTGAGTAGCTTTCATGTGCCCACATAATCTGTTCATTTCACTTCAGCACCCTTCATTCCTTCATTTCTTTCCCATTTAATTTTCTTTCCCATCCCTTACACCTGAATAACACTTATGTTGTTACCAACCATCACGTAGTAGGGGAAGTTCCTCCTCACGTGAAGAAATGTCCCTAATTTTAGAGATTTTAGGATCTCCCTAGTGTTGTGATTGTCTCTGAAGCTGTGATTTCAATGGGAAAAATCTTTAAACCTACTACTTTGGGAAGGAGACGAAGTTGGAGTTCTGTGGCGATGTACCTACAGCATTATAGGAAAGCAGAGATACTCACAGCTGAAATACTTATGCTGATAATTGTAAGGCATGAACTTCTTCTTCTTTTTTCCAAGCTGAAAAAAAAAAAAACAAAGAACACTGTAATGATCTAGTTGGAGAACTGAGATTCTTCATAAATGCTTATTCTTACCTAATGAACACATCAAGAACTACCTATTAAATCTCTTTAATCCAAAAGCAGGCACTGAAGGTCTGAAGCAGTGGAAAGAAATATCTTATTTGAGCCTCCGTATCAAGATATCAATATGTGTTGATGCCAGAACACAACAGTTTCTGTGGAGAGTTCCAAAACTCATAGTAGGGTACCAAAATATACAAAAATAACAAGAAAAACCAAAAGGCATTTGAATTTTGCAGGGGAAGATTCCAGTGGTAGCAATGAGATTCAGTGTAATCATGTTCAGACATTCACCACAGAGTGCTTAAATCATCTGTGCTTGGGGAGGAAGAGGTTATTCAGGTGAAGAGTGAAAACTGAGACAGGAAACAGTGGGTGATGAATGCAGGATGCGTCTGCTGAGAAAACTGCGCCTAAATTTCTGTATCAGATGAGCTATGGGCTGAAGACATCCAACAAAATGAAACCACTGAAATGCTTTCTGCCCATCCACAGTGCATCTGACTCATTTCTGTTAAAAGCTGGAAGAGATGAGAACTAGTTTCCTGCACTTTCATTTCCATCCAAACCAATCTAGCACAGGGACAGATACCTCACTCTAGATACTGCAGGCTCAAGTTGATGCTATCAGACATCTTTCAGAAGGTCACTGTCTAGATGCTCTCATGTTGCAGCTAACAGTTTGCTATTAATAAATACTTTGTATAAACTCTCTTCCCAGGAGTCTTCCTGAGACAGCAGAGCTGGAATTTTCCACATGCATTGTAAAGATTTCATTGCTTATTACCCTCTAATGGAGAGTGACGCATTATTTAAAGAGAATGCTTATCTAAGCAAGAGGTCATTTCTTCATTCCATGAGTAAACTGAATTGCTGATGAAAGAAAAGGCAGGAGATCTTACCTACCCTGATACCTGAAATCCTGGGAAAGAGGGGGAGCTGTGATTATGGATTTATTTTTATGAGATTAAAAAAAGAAAAAAAAAAGGGGGGGGGGGGATTAAGAACTAATTTATATGCTTGTGTTTTGTGCATAGCAGCTACACTGGTGCTGAAGGATTTAGGTGCCAAGCAGGTCCTACAACCAAAAGGACCCAGAGGGAACATCTGACTCAATATCTACAATATCACTAAAATCATCTAACACTAATCAAGTGGACTGACTCATTGTTTGGAAGGCCTTCGAGGTACTTACCCTGCTCTTCGAGCAACACAGAGAACTTAAATACTGATTTTAAGAGTTTGCGGCCTAAGCATCATGATAACCAGGCCCCAGGTTGGTACTTAAGTAAGATATCTTGAACTTGAACCTTAGTGAGAATGCATCCAGCAAGGATCTCCTCCTGGGAGCGTGGGAGTCAGAGCAATCTGACTGTGAGACTCTGAGACCATCCAACACTTTGGAAATTACAGAATCATAGAATTGTTTGATTTGGAAAGGACTCGTGAAGGCTGTCTAGTCCAACTCCCCTGCAAGGAACAGCAACACCTATAGCTAAATCAGGGTGCTTGGATCCCTGTCCAGCCTGACCTTGGAGGTCTCCAGGGATAGGGCATCCACCACCTCTCTGGGCAACCTGTTCCAGTGCCTCACTACCATTATTGTAATAAAACTTCTTTCTTATATCCAATCTAAATTTGTCCACTTTTAGTTTGAAACCATTTCCCCGTTTTTCAAGTTATTGTTACAAATTTAGGCAGAAAGACATAATTCAGGTTATTATACTTCAGTTCTGTCTTTTTTGCCAAAGGTCCTCTAGATCCATACCCACCTCTACAGAGAGTGTCTTTCCCAAGCTGAACAGGAGAGGGTGCATGTTGAGGTCGGGGTCCTTGCGGAAGCAGTTGGGTTTGGCGTGGTGCTGATTGTGCAGATGATTCCACCAGCTGGCAGGTAAACCCTGCAGAAAAAGCCAAATACTGGGGATTTAAATAGAACTCCATCACTGATCATTATTGTCAACCTATCACTGACAACTGCACTATATTTTCCTCACAGGTAATGCTGTCTGAATGTAGAGTCACTCCCATTCATTATTTAGTCCAGATTAGGCCCAGAGAATATTCTCACAGTAAGGCAATTACCTTCAGGGTATTTATCACAATGATCTGCAGCAGATGGTTCCATTTAGGCTTCCTAAAGACAGAGCAGTGCCCCAGATCGTGTTGGAACCAGCCCATCTGGATCTAGAAGACAAAAGAATCGCCAGGGATTCAGAATCATAGCAGTGTTGTACTAATTTGCTCCCGGGAGTCTTCTTAGTACCATGGCATGAGATCATCTCCTCTGATCTGGGGAAGAATTACACGCAGTGCTATCTGCTCAGTGCTGAGAACTTCCTTTCAGACCACTGCCTATTAAAGATGCTCAATGCCAGATATTGATTTTGTTGTACAGCAAAAAATCATTACAATGAGTTTGACTCTTAGAGCATACAAGTCTCTTGTTCCCATCAAAAGTATATATAATTTCCAAGTAACAATCTAGAAAGTGCAATAATTTCCAAATCCAGAGCTTCATTGCACTTCACAGCAGAAAACTGTTCTGAATTAATGAATGGGGTTGGCGCATGACAGACCAAACTTCAGAGCCATCAGACAGTAAACAGAACTTGGAACCAGAAATGGAATTGAGAATGAGATATTCCCTCTTCTGTCGGGGTGAGTGATTAGATCAGCCCATCCCATCTTATAAAGCTGCCTACTTAACCTCACAACGCCACACCAGTCAGAGTGAAAAGGTTTTCAGCAAACCTAGGCTTGCTGAAAGCAATAAAAACTGCTTGTTGTCTTCAATCAGCTTATTAGATCTAAGAGGACATAGTAAGTCAGTGACTGGAAGATGAACATTTCATTGATCCTCTCCATGGGATGAAACAAACACGTCCACACCATTGAATTGTTGTCAGTGGTTTACCTGAGCAATGGTGAAGAATGCCATGCCAACAACGAAGGGCACTAATGATATCCCGAAGTACCAGACTGTCAGCCAGGATGCAGCATCCAGTACCAGGATGTGAAGGAAAATCAGGGAGAAAAAGGTGGAATCTGGATTCAGAAGTCCCATCTTCTCAACAGTGCAGCGCAGCTCACGGAAGTCTTCTAAAAGTGATTTCTGTGGGTAAAAGAAGTATTAATGTGCTAGCTACTTTGAAAATGCAATACAGCAAATCCAGGAATCCTGGAGTGGCCATGGAAACATTCAAGTTCATGCTGGATGGGCTCTGAGCATCCTGATCCAGCTGTAGGTGTCACTGTTCATTGCAGGGAATGTTGGACCAGATGGCCTTTAAGGGTCTCTTCCAACTCAGACGATTCCATGATTCTAAGTCAGTGGAGACACTTCATCAGTGGGGTGTCTTCACAAGAATGAGCGCAAGATCAATAGATCTCAGCTTTGCTTTGACACTCGAACAAGTTGCTGACGGGCTGTGTCAGTGAGACATCACAATGGGAAGAACTGATCAGATACTGGTACTCTGGAGCCCATTCCTCACACCCAAGTATGGATCCAGCTTTTTTGGGACAGTGCTGTGTGTTTCCATGCATGACTATGGCAGCTACCTCCCCACCCAGCCTAGGGCACAATGTCAGTTATATTGTCCCAGAAATTATATCTACCCCTCTTTTGTATTTCTCCTTTCATGCAGTACCCCAAGTCATGTCACAGTTAGTTTCTAGGACACTCACCTTTTTGTTAGACTCAAAGCTGGGTTGATCTGGTGCCAGTTCCCCAATCAGCAGAGACTTCAAGTATTTCTTCACCAGAGCCTTATCACTGTGAAATGCTACAAAGGCATCCTACAAATCAATACACAGATAAGAAAGGTATACTGCTAAATTCAGATGGCCAAGTCTACATTTTCCCATATCATTGATATAATACATAATCCTGATTCCTTTTCTTTCCCAAAGACCTTCAGAGCTCTGTTCCTTCAGTTGTTCCTGTAGTGCTTTGCCATCAGCTGGAGCTAGGCCCAAGGAAGCTGGAGAAGTTTCAAGAAACTAGATGTCATATAAGTATCTGGGTGAGGCTGGTAATGAGTACGAAAGTGTTTGATGAAGAACTATTTGCAGAGGGAAACATTCTCTTTCATCTGTCTCTTTCAACACCATCCTTCCTTAGAAGGCTTCAGCCAGCAGCCCTGCCCTGTGGATGGGACCCAGGAGTAGGAAAACACATCAGTGAGGTGTCTCTTTGCCACACTTCGGAAAATACAATGATGTTAAAACCCTGCCTTTATCACAATAGTATCAATGGAAATAAACATATACAGGGCTATCTAGCTTTCTCTTACAGTTGCCTGTTTTGAGATTAATTGACATTTTGGGCAACGGAGTAACACAAGTGACACAAACATATTTGTCCAAGAACCATTCATAGTACCAGTTTCAAAAGGAAATATAAACTATGGCATAAAGGAAACAGGAAGCCTCAGATAAATCACAGCTCTTCTTCAACTTATCTCCTCAGTGGATTTCCCAGAGGGAAGGTGAAGAAGCTGGCCATGCTCCTTTATCTTCCAGAAAGAGTCAATATTGCAAAACCCTCAGTGTCTGACCAGTCACATCCACACAAATTTTCTCTCTGCAATAAACTGAGGTAATCTTTTAGTCATGACACAAAAATTTTTGCACACTTCCAGACAAGAAGAGGATTTTCCTTGTGCAGTTTGGCATTCCTCTTGAGTCTGACTTCAGAAAAGGCCCATCTTTGAGCACTTTACTCAAGTCAGAGAAAAGTGATGTTTTGAACAGATGGGATTTCTACAAACATCTCATGGCCCTTTGTCACAGGGAATAATTAGAAATTATGCCCAGATCCAGTGGTCTGGGGAAATCTTTCTGCTATGAGTCTGTGTTCTCTCTGCAACTACCTTACTTTACCACCTTACAAGAGATTACTTTAAAGGACTATCATCTGCAATGGACCTTACTTCCCAAACTTGACAGGAGTGTAACATTCTGCAAAGAGTATTGTTTATATTTGCAAAGTAATGCATATAGAGGAAGATAATTCTCACCATATCTTTAAAATGAGCTCTAGGTTGCTCAAGAGTGCTTGGAAAACATCTTGGACTTTAGGTTTGAGAAGAGAATGAAGGAGATCCAAAAGGGTTTTTTCCTTCACTTGAGAACACAAACTGAGGAACAGAAAGAACAGTCTACTTTCTGGAAGCCAGAAAATCTGTCATGACAAGAGTTAAATTTGGGTCCCCTCACTACACGTTTATATTGTAATCCTGGTGTTGCTTCTGAGAGTTCAGAAATTCAATATCAACCCTTAATAAATAATCTATGAAATCTGCTTAAAAATTATCATCTCTTTCAACAGTTAACAACTCAGTGAGATCCTCTAAATCAAAGATTTTTGCATGTGTCTCTAGAACATCTACTTTCAGATGGACTATCTGTAGAAAGTTTCCTCGTCTTCTGCAGCCAAATGTCATTCTGTTGATTTCTTAGTTGTTTTTCTTGTATTTTATTCTTCTTAGAATTTTTGTTCAAGACCTTCTTTTCCATCACTCGTTCAAAATAGAGTCCTTACCTTGGTTACTTTCTTTTCTTGCTCCACTGGCCCCAGAATTAATTCCTCTTTATCTCTGAACATTACCTCCTCCTTATTCATCCCCTTGTTCTATTTTTGATTATCCTTGGCTTCTATCATATCTGGAAGCGTTCAGACATTAAAACAGCAGTATGCACTGAGTGTACCACTTCCCAATCTCTTCCCTTTCACTCAACTGCAACAGAAAGACTTTGCAGATACTTGGAAGACAGCCTTTGGATAGATTTTTCAGATACTTTGGAAGACAGTATGCATGTGCACTGTTTACATTTTAATGTAATGAACCTGAACAGAGCTTTATAATTTACGTAGCAGTTAACTCTGATCTTGAGGGTAACCTGGAAGGTACTTTTACAAGCAGCACAGATACGTCCACTACCTTATTGCAGAATCACAGAATGGCTTGGGTTGGAAGGAACCTCCAAGATCACTGAGCTCCAACCTCTGCTGTGAGCTGGTTGCCACCCACCAGATCACGCTGCCCAGAGCCCCATCCAACCCAGCCTTCTCTGACTGAGCATGGTGTCAACCATTACAAGTGTTCTCCACTGGAGTCCAACAGTGTCCTCCTGTCCTGGCACTGGAACCACATTCCTCCACTCCATCCCTAGATCTTACCGTTGCATCTTGTCCGGCATAGTGGCCAATAACCCGGCTGCCTCCAGGGTGCCGTCTGGAAAAACTGCTGACGTCGTAAACATTCCTGTCAATCACCAGCCACTGCTCCTTACTTGGGCCACGGCCGTTGTGGATTCGGATCTCTTCCCAAGTGAAAAGCTGAAGAAAGGTTGAAACAGGTTTCCTTTCCTTTACTGTGGAGCCAGTCTGTGGAGCCATCTGCACTTCTGGATGTGCATTCAGCACTGAGATTCACTCATCTCAGCCTTGCCGTGCTGCGTTCGGACAGATGAGCCATGTCAGCCTACCCGTTATACAGTCTGAGTCCCAACCACACCCTGTGTTTCCAGGGCTGGTTGACTCCCTTCACACAAACACACCCTCCTCTTCCACGCTCACACCAGACTCCTTGACACACCCATGAGTAAATGCCCTGTTTCTTCTTGTCCTTTCTGAGTTGCCACTGGAAGGTCTGATTACTCAAGAGACCTGTAGGCTACTTCACTGAATACAAATATACACGCACTGAAAGATTTAGGAAGATAACTTAGAATCTGCTATTCAATCAAATCAGATGGCAATGTGATGAAAGAACAATATATTAAGTGACCTTCGTAGAGCATTAGGAAATGGATAAAGCAAGCTGTTAGCCAGTTTCCATATTTGAATGAACATGGATCTTAGCCAGAAGAGAAATCTGAGGAACTGTGTTGGCTGTTCTACAGGTAATATTCTGTGATAATTGTAGAAAACTGAAGCACTTTTAGCATTCCGTAATGCTTGAGCATGTCATTAATCCTACACTTACCATACAGTATATCTCCTTAATGTCAAACAGAATCAAAATTAAAAACTGTAAGGCAGCCTGTGCACTCAGCCAAAAGTTGCCCATAAATATGTTTGCTAGCATATCTCATTCAATTGTAATTCCTGCTAACAAAGCATGGAGCTTATGTCTACACAAACAGAGTGAAAGCAGCAGAATGCTCCGAGGTCTGCAATCTCTCCATGATATATCTCAAATTCTTTCCGATTGAGTCACATCATTTTTGTGCCTGACCCAGAAAAAACAAAGCCCACAATGTATGAAACACTGCCATCTTTCAAATCTGGTATTTTTTAATCTGAAATTACCATCCATGGGTGCTTTTGAGGAAGGTAGAAGAATATGCAGCTATGGCATAGTCTGCCTCATCAGATTTTCATTCTATCCCTTTATAACATAACACTGAATTAAGTCCTGAATTATGAGCTTTCCCCTTTACACCAAACTTTTTGTTTGCATTTATTAATTTACTGCATTTGAAACCAGAAGTCATAGAATTATAGAGTGGTTTGGATTGGAAGAAACCTTAAACATGGAGCTGTTGTTCACAAGCCTTTAATTCCTTACCATTGTGTGATCCATCACTCAAACTCATTTCTCTCCAGTTTAGAAACAAGGATGCTGTGCTTTACAGTGTCAAACACTTTGCACAGATCCAGCTAGATGACATCACTTGCTCTCCCCTTATCCACCACTGCTGTAACCCTGCCATAGAAAGCCACCAAACTTTTCAGGCATAATTTGCCTTTAGTGAAGTCATGCTGGCTCTCACCAATCACCTCTGTTCTCCATGTGCCTTAGCACAGTTTCCAGGATGATCTGCTCTACGATCCCTGATCTGCTGGGCATAAAGTTGAGACAGACTGGCCTGTAGTTCCCCACATCTTACTTTCTTCCATTTAAAAAAATGTGGATTGTGCCACAATGTCTTAAATAGGATGGCAACTTGATCCACCAGTTCCCTTAGGATTCATAGACACATCTCATGGACTTGTGCACCTTCAAGTTCCTTAGATGGCCTCAACTGTGGTCTTCTACACTGGAGGGTTCTTCATTCTTTCAGTCCTAGGCTTTCCTTTCTGCAGCTTGGGCAGCGTGGCTAGAGCATTGCTGGTGAAGAATGAGTCAAAAAAGTCATTAAGATGCTTAACTGAGACACCCCCGTTAATGTAATAGTTGGCCTAACCTCCCCCAGTATTACTAAGACAGGCTGCTCCACAAAATGATTCTTCCCACCTTCTCTTTCTCACCTGACTCACAGTTTGGTCTGTACAGGAAGAAATAGTTACAGTTTACAGGTTCGAAGTCAAAAAACTATAAACTCATTTCTGTTTGATAGTATCACTGCTGTCATGAATGTATGTGTTCTTGAGCAAGGTACTTTAGCAAGGTGAGGTCCAGTTTTGCCTGTGTACTCTCTCTCCCAGACAGACAGCATGCAGAAGGCCTAGACAAGCATTGCTCGAAGGGATGATCTTCTGCATCAGAAGAAAGGCTTCATTTAGTGTATGTAGAATAACTTAACTTTGGAGATTTTCTGCTTAAGAAACTGGAAAGGAGTTTACAGGCTGTCTGTGCTAAAAGTGATTGTGAAGTTCTTCTTACAGTTACCTTTCTTCATACACTCTGTGCAATTCTCAGGCTGCAAGCAGTGCCGAATGTGAAGTCTATTTGTTGTCTTCCTTTATTTTCTGTAACAGTAGCACAAGAACCATTGGACATCACACACAGTAGACATCTGCCTCAGCTCTGCATGGAGCAGGCAGGCATTCTGGCTGACACAGAGCTGTAAATGTTGCAATTCTAATGCTTCAATCACATAGCATCTTGCAAATTAATCACTCAGGCACATAACAGCCATTTAAATATCCCGATGTGTAGCAATGCTTGAACCACCCTAGCTGAAAGAGAAATGGGACTATTGATATTCATTAAAAGGCAGTGATAAAAGAACGAGAGAAAAAAAATTACACTGTCCTGCCACATGGCATTTTGTAACTCTTTATCTTGGTCTAAGTAGAAGTGTCTCCACAGACATGTTTTTGTGTTCACATTCCGGAGATGTGTGTGGAGCAGTACATCGTACAGACAGCCTGATCCACACTTGTAGTGGTGGTAAAATATGCAATAGTTGTTGTAAATGTGGGTTGTTGGTTTTTTAAGCACTTGAAGAAAAGAAAAGAAAAGAAAAGAAAAGAAAAGAAAAGAAAAGAAAAGAAAAGAAAAGAAAAGAAAAGAAAAGAAAAGAAAAGAAAAGAGTGAAGTTACTCTATGGCTGTCCATAAAACTTGCAAACCTAGCAGCTACCTGAAAAGAAACAGATGAGAACGGAGGTTTTGTTTCTGGTCTACGAGGAGATGGAGAACACAGAGCCAAGAAGATATTGGAGTTAACTAACATGGAATGTTTCAAACACATCCATTCCCCATCTGAAAGCAAAATCCATTTGTCTGTGTTATCCAGGTCACAAACACATTCCAGCGCTGCACAAAAACGTCCAGATAGTGAAAGCCACAGCAGGCATGTTTACCCAGAGAAGCTATTGGGAAATCTGTTAAGGTGAATTTGCACCATAATGTTCTGCAATAACAGCCCACACACCCACAAAATCTATATGGTACACATCTGGGAGCTCGTGCAGATGCACAGAGCTCTGTCTGTGACATCTCCTTGCAGAAGCACTTGACATAGTTATCCAGATCTCCAGAAATTCAATGACTGCTGAACTGGCAGCTAGTACAACAATGTTTTTATCCAGTATATATCCAGTGTATATCCATCCATTTTCACTTAGTTCACTGCAGATGAACTGGCACAGCACAGAGCAGCCCTAGATCCAAAAAGAATACAGTACTAAGGTACACAGAACTTAAGTACTTTGTTTCCAAGAAAATATCATCCCTGGAATGTCTGAGCTGCCCTGAGTGCCCTGACGAGCCCTGCAGCTTCTTTCTCCTCCCCACAGCCCCTGTCTCTGCAGCTTCTTTCTCCTCCCCACAGCCCCTGTCCGTGCTCAAGGCCAGCTCTGAATGTGCACAGCCTGTGCACTGCAAAAGAGCCTAAAGGGCTGTGAGAAGCCTTTGCCCTGCATGGGAGCTGTTGTTCTGCTCAGGGAACCAAATGCTGTGGGATCTAGGCTGCTCAAAGACTGTATGAGCTTAGGAAGAATTTCTGCTTTGAAGGAGTGGTGATGCAGTGGCACAGGCTGCCCAGGGAGCTGCTGCAGTTACTGCCCCTGGAGGTGTTCAAGAAGCTCAAGAGACGTAGCACTGAGGGACGTGGTTTAGTGGGGAAATATCAGTGGTAGGTGGATGGTGGGACTAGATGATCTTAGAGGCATTTTCCAACCTTAATGATTCTGTGATTCTGCGATTCAGTCCATTCCTTAAATCTGCTATAAGTAGTAAGCTATTATATATTTCTTGATTGTTTTTCCCCTGTGAAAGCAATTTTTGTATCTTTTTCAAAAGAGAAAAAGCATCCATGAAACCCTACCATTTGAGTGGTAGCAAACTTTGCTTTCACTCTCCGTTGTTTTTTATGGGTGAGCAATAATAATTAAGAAAGATGCTGAGAACTCTGCCATGCTATTACAGTGAGGCTCTGTCATAAGCACTGTGAAACTCTCATCTAAAACTCTACGCATTGCATCATTTGTAACTGCATGCTGACATTCTTTTTAATGAGGGCCAATAATAAACTGTTCAACAATCACCACATACCCCTATGCTGTGCATCTCCTTTAATTCCTAAGAAGTTCCTAAGAGCTTCTTAAGAAGTTCCTATGAAAGCCCCACTGGCATGCTCCAGCTCAAGGTTTAAGGTCCAAATTCAGCAGAATCTAAGATCACCATTCATATTGTTACAGAGGAACTAAAACACACAGTGATCCAAGCTAGAATTGTTAAATGTCCATGACAGAACCATTTTGTCTTCCCACTGTTATAATTTGGGATTTGTTTTTTCATACCACTCAGCATTTTTTTTAGCAGTTTCTGAGTTCAGCACACTGACTGCAAACACAAATGTGCATCCACAAAAGAAATACCCTGCAAAAGGCAATCAAGCTTGAACACTTTTTAATACACGACTTTTGCAACACCAATTAGGAACCACAGCATAAGCAAGGATTAAAACACCCACAATAGTTCTACTGCCTACACACAGAACACCATCCTTTTGTCCTTCCTGCAAGTCTCAGGCTCCCTGCCAGCTTTGCAACACAGGAGGCAGGGATCCTGCAATCACTTGCCTCCTGCCCAATATGGAACCAAACCCCCACTGGAGTTTTCTTGCAGGCAAATTACCTGTGTTGATCCTTATGGCAGCCTTCTCAGGCACAGAAGCACACTGCTCACCTGCATCCATGAGCACTTCTTCACGCTTCCCTTGCTTTCAGAGCGGTGTGGCTGATTTCTCAGCTGCAGAGGCATAATTCAGTCTTCAAATACTATGCAGTTTTTGCCTTTATGGGAGCTGGTAGGTTAGGTCAGTGGTTGGACTTGATTATTTTGGAGGTCTTTCCCAACCTAGATGATTCTAAGGCTGTATAGCTAAGTTAACCAGAGTACTGGTTGTGCCCTCTGGTTTGGTATCAGCAGTGGATCTGAAGAAGGTGCATCCATCCATCACTCAGATCGCTGATGATGTTAGACTGTACTGGCACCAAGAATGCCAAGATGTGACACAAACAGCTGAAGTCAGTTTTGCTAAAATATTTTCCAGATGCAAAACTCATTTTCTGCTTTCGTTCTGAATAGACACATCTACTTGTTGCCAGGTCTATAGATTCATCACTTCCTTACACAGATCTTCAGTAACTTCCTACTGTACTGATCCTTTCCCAGACACATATTACCGTGTGTATTCATGGCATAGCAATATTTGCACGGAGAGGTGGTGGGTACCCTGTCCCTGGAGAAGCTCAAGGTCAGGCAGGACAGGACTTTGAGCACCTGTGTAGTGTAGGTTTCCCTGTTCGCTACAGGGGAGTTGGACCAGATGGCCTTTAAGAGTCCCTTCCAGCTCAAATGATTCCAGGATTCTATGGTTCTATTCTATGCATTTTGACCAGCAGACATGACTCAGACCTTAACTTCTCTCTATCCTCTCCCCATAGACCTCACTTCTTCTCAGTCATATTTTTAATATACATGGCTGAAGAAGCTTTTACTAATTGCTTTAATTTCTTTTGCAAAGTTGACATTTAGCAATGCCTACTTGCACTTTCATGACCTTTTCTCTACTCTCTGCATTTGTAATCTGCTTCAGCATAGATCCTCATTAACGTAAAATACAGTCCTGAATTTATTTCTCCCCTCCTTAGAAAAGAAGTCCTGTAAGGTTTTTATACTGGGGTTCCCCCATAGTCCTAGCTGAATACACAACTCCAGACAGTCTTCTACATGTTAGCAAGGCCAAGTATCCATGCCGGGAGAAACAGACACCTTGAGTAGCTTGTTAACTGCCACAGTTGGTACTACAGAGAGAGGGCTCTTGGTGGAGACTGTGGAAGTCGCACAACCTACAGAAGTGAAACTCAGAAGTCAAGATAGAAGTGGGAGCTGGAAACAATCACAGAATACTAGCTATTCATAGAATCATAGGTCTATAGAATCATTAAGGTTGAGAGGACCACTAAGATCATCCAGTGCAAACATCAGTCCATGCCTGTGACCGCTCTAGACCACGTCCCACACTGCCACACGCACCCTTTCTTGAACACCCTCTGGGGTGGTGACTCCACCACCTCCTGGGCAGCCTGTGCCAGTGCCTCATCACTTTTCTTAATATCCAGCCTGAATCCCCCCCAGTGCAAAATAAAGCCATTCCCTTTCATCTTATCAGTGTTACCCAGGAGTAGAGGCAACCTCCTTTCAGGTAGTTGGTTGGGTTTTTTCAGTATTTTTTTGGTCAAAAGGGAAGCTCCTTTTTTTCTTTTTTTTTTAATAAATTTCTGAATCAGATCTCTCAAACATTAATAATTTGATAACCGCAAGGATACTCGAGAAATGCACAAAGGCAAAAATCTAGCACGTTCAGACCAGGGACCCTAGACTGCAGAAATAGGAACTATTGCTATGATAGGAACTGTAGCCATGTTCCTGTCCCATTTGTTTTGATTTTCTTTTTTGTGCTCAGGCTTATCAGCAGTTGATGAGAGAAATCAGTTTTGCCTCTCTGCAAACAAGGGAAGCATGCTGAAGAAGACCTTACAGGTGCTGGTGAGCAGTGGGTTTATACAGGCAAGAGGGCTGTCCTCCAGCTCAGCACAGGCAAGGAGATTCCTGCAAGAAGATCCCACGTGGAGTTTGGCTGTAAGAGCATTAAACTCTAGAGACATTAGAGAATCCTGACGAGTCCTATTGCCCTGGTATGACTTCAGCTTTACAAACCTTCTTTTAGCGTCAGGAAAAAAATCCCCCATTTTCTGCCTCTAGTCTTGCATCTGATGACACAAAGTTCAGGAATCTGTTCTATTCCTGTATTAACATGTTCAGCCTCACAGCAGTTACTGGCAGTGACTGGCTTTTGCCTAAGTGAGGTCCTCTTAAAAGATGTCTGTTAGACACAGACCATAATAAGAACTAGCTACACAGAATGTCTGAAACCTGAATAAGACTCCAGCTGGCCTTTTTCCTTATTGTTTAATTCTCTAGATCAGTAACTTCAGAATATTTGCTCAACACAAGTATTTGTAGCTTTCTATTTTCAAATGAAGCCACATTTCTGATCTTCTTTGTAGGTGAGGGAATAAAACAAAGAAAACATCAAACTGACCAAGTCACAAACTGAGTTCATTGGCAAAATCTTCATTTTCCTGTCCCTTTTCTTTTCTTTTTTAAACTTGGGCAACATCCAGCATTTATTTCTTCATCTTGTTCATTTTTCATAACAATGATTGCAAGATGATCCTGGAAGGGAATTGCAACATTTACATCTTTTCCAGAAGCACTTACGATTCTGTATTTGAGGTCCCTTCCCACCCAAGCCATTCTATGATTCTGTTTGGTTATGTTTCTAAAAGATTATTTCAGAAGCACTCAAGTTCATCCCAGAGAGTCCACCAGGCAGTCATGCAATGACAACAGTGTTGGTCACAGGACTGCCCCAATCTTTTCCTGCATGAAAGCAGGCAACAGCTTTTGTTTCTTACAAGAAAGTGTCCTCTAGAAAGCTATTATTGAATGTTGGTATTCCCTTAATGGACAAATAGCTCCTGTTGTGTTGAACACTAAGCTAACTAACCTTGTTACTAAAAATGTGCACCTTCTCTGTAGCTTGAACTGGTAATAATTCACATTCTTGTATTGCAGAATACAAGAATGCAGGAGTTTTTGTTTTGCAGGCACCACAACCAATTAAAAAACATCCAGAGAGGATGCATACCCACGTAGAAGGTAGCAACTCTTCTTTATTCCTTTTCCTTTCTAGTCTGTGTATTTACAGACCTTTTTTAAGCATTCTTAAAGCATCCTACAACTGCTCATATTCAATAGATAGTAGATGACGACTTCCATATCTTTTTCCTTAAAATCACTGCATTAATTTTCTTCATAGCAGCCTGTGTGGTTTTCTGTTTCAGACTGGTGACCAAGAGAGCACTGATAACGACCAATATTTTTGCTATTGCTAACAAGCAATACAAAGCAGTGCTTGCCCATCATCAAGGACCTCTCTGTTTCTCATTCTGCCCCAACAAGCAAGAGGGCTGGAAGTGGGCAAGAAGATGAGAGGTGACACAGCCAGCACAGCTGGCATAAGCTGACAGCGGGATATTCTGTACCATATAACACAATGCTCAGAAATAAAAGCATGGCTGAGAAAATTGTACCAAGATTGACATTCCTTGGAGACTGTCTGAACATTTGGCTGCTGATGGGATGTAGTGATTGCCTTTGCATCACTTATTTTCCTTTTTTTTTTTTTTTTTAGCCAGACGTTTTTCTTGATTTTCCTCTTCTAATTCTCTCCCCCATCCCACTGAGGGGCACTGAGTGAGCAGGGTCAACCTATCACATGCCCCAAACTTAAAATCACACCAGGAAAAAGAGAATTCACATTAAAAAATATCTATTCCGATTAACGCATTCTAGCTGGCACATGCCTCTCCTTCAGTTGCTTTATAATCAGGCCTATCAGCCACTTCATCACTCAGTTTAGAGTCAATGTCAAGATGAAGGCTTTGACTATTATGGTTGATACAGGATCCATACTGTTTATCAGATGTGGATTTACATTTGATTGTGTTTTTATCCCAAAAAAGGTCTTTTACGCAGGCAGGTCACACAATCATAGAATCATAAAACAGAATCCTTTGGGTTGGAAGGGCTGATATTCTCACATCAGCCAAAAGTTGCTTTGAACTATGCAGAGTCGTAACAACCCATGCAGCAGAAAAGCCTTGGAAAAATGTGGCTGGAACTGTACCCAGCAGAAAAGGATCTGATGGACTTGCAGGCTTTGAACACTCACATTTCTGTTCTCCGAGGCGGTGGCATCCTGCATCCCCTGTGATGCCTTGCTGCCATCATGTGGCCGTTTCAGTGTTCAGGTTCCATATTTCTAGGATGGCTATGAAGCCAAAGGGCTTCTGCTTAATGGCAAAATTGGGGCCTACGGTGTTCCTAAAAGGTGTACTTGAGCACATACTGGGAGAAACTGAAAGAGGCCTTGGACTTGCAGTTCACTGCTATAAAATTTCAATACCCAAACTCTGAGAGTAACCTGCCACAATGGAATTCAAAAAGCCCAGAGTGATCATAGAAATTGATTTGTTATACAGCCCATTTCTCCTCTTGAGCAGTCCTGCAGAGCTCCTAGCAAACTCAGTATTTACAGCGCTGAGCATCTTGACTCAGGCCTGCTTTCGGTCTTACTTTTTAGGATTATGAATCAGTTCATCATGTCATTTTCACTGATTACCTGGGCAAGTGATCTACTGTATTGCAGATGCTGCTTCTTTCCAGTGGCAGAGGAGACACAAGATCCTCCAAAGTCTTAATGTGTCTGAAGTTCCACTTAGTGCCTACTGTCTTCAAAACTGTTAATTCTTAGATTCTTATCCCTGGGGAAAGCTTAAATTATTTGAATTTTTGAAATTAAATATTTAGATAGTAACATTCTGACTCTGGGCACTGGAAAAAAAAAAAAGCACCAAAAAACCCCATCACTTGCTAGGCAATACCAAGCACTTCCAATGCGAGTGTTGAATACTTACAACTCTCTTGGCACAAGGATTTTTTCCACTTACCTTACTTGTTACAATCCATCTGGTAAGTGCTTTCAAGTAAGCTTCGTGAACTGAGCTGCAGTCTAGCTGCCTTCCTTCAAAAACACACTGGATCTTTATAAAGGATCTCTCTGACTAGAGTACTCAGTATCCAGCAGCCAGAGAAGCAGAAGATCAGTTCCTTTTGACAGATATGACTGAAAACCTGCTCTGACAAAATAGGAAAAGGGCCTTTGTTGTCTGTTGCAATTTTCTACTTGCCGATCTGAATTGAAGGTTCACTAGTCCACAGAAGGAAAGCAAAAATTCTTGCATTCCAGCTCCTCTTGCTACCAGAACACTCTGTATGGTTTGATCCAGCAGTTTAAATTTTGAGTTGTGACACCTGAATTAGATGCTCCCTGGAGGATCTTCAGAAGCATCCTCACCTTCAGTGTTTTCTCTTTTCTAGCATAGCAGCTCCCTACTTGTCCAGCCTCAGCCACATGCTAGAAAAGCCTAGCCTGGGGTATCTACTACAGAGCTAAGACATTAAACCACAGCTGTTCAGACCAGTGTAACAGGACTTTTGCTGCTTGTGGCTTAGGGCCAACAATCCAAGGTTGCAGAAACCTTTAAATGCAGTCAAACATCAATCTTCCCCCACCTTCCATTCCACAACCAAAGTTTTGGGTGATACTGCCCAGGAGAACAGCCAAAGCCGCGAGGCTTGCCCCTGCTGCTATGGGATTAATGGAGCCACTCTGAGGTTTCATCTGAAAGCTAATACTTGTTGAATGCAAGTCCTTACAGAACAGCTCTTGATTTCCTAAAACGCAAACATTGCTAAGTTTCGGAAGTGCAACTTCCAGATCCAGGGGTCATTTTTTCCCTCTCCTCCTCATCATGGCATGTGGTTTTGTTTTGGTACACTTCATTTTGGTTTGCTTGTACTGCATACTTCACACAAGCTAAAAATGACAAAGCTGATTAAGCAATCCCTTCCTCCAAAATACAAATACTGAAGTCTACCACAGCTCTTTCTGCAGCTGTAGGCATTTATTCCATGCTTTAAAGAGTGCTGACTCTTACACAGAAATATTTTACTCTCATGACAGCAATAATTTGTAAGGTAAGAAGTTTTATTATTAAGACTTCCTCCATCAACAGTTCTAATAATAAAAGGAGAGAAACAGCAGGAAAAAACAAGATAGGAAAGAGTGACTAAGGCCCATTTCCTTTACAGTTTTTAAATCAACAGTTATTGATGATTTAATTATATTTTTATTATTTCCATTACGATTTTATTCTGTGCTTAAAAATAATCTTAGCCTGAGAAGATGCATTTCCTCTATCTCTTCACAAGCCATACTCCTTTTGGATGTTGACCAGAAAAAGCACCATTATCTTCCTTAAAATCAGGCACTGTATTTACAGTTAGCAGCTGGGCAAGAAAGAGAGCACAAAACACGTGGAAAACTACATCTTATTTATCCACCTGAGAGACAACAGAAAAAGGGATTGGTCCCCAAAAAACAGACAAAAAACCTAAAATGCTTGAAGACAAAGACGTGATGGAGACATCTTCATTACTGCTATGCCAAGAGCTGTATCCTGTTTGGCAGCTGTAGCACTGGTGCAGTAAAGGAAAATACACTGGGGAACACAGTAAGGCTAATTAACATTACAATCAATCACACAGTAATGCCCTCTTGGGGTGTGTTTTGAAGGCACATCATCCAACAGGGAAAGATCGGTAATGGTTTGGCTGATGTGTGCCTGCAGATATGCAGCCTGCTGACTTCAGTTGGCTGAAGAGTTAGATGTAATTTAAGAGTACCCCAAACCATAATGTTTTTACAACTCAATTCAGTTATTCTACAGGAACCCATAACACTCCTTGGGCCAGAAATGCTGAGTATTCTGCTAAGCAAATCACCCTTTCATCCTGAATTTAAAAAAAAGAAGTGAAGCTTCAGAAGGCCAACACACTTTTTGGTTCCGTAGTAACCCAACCCACGTAGGGATCCCAACTACGGATATTCCGTATTAGTTCAATAACACTCAGAAGTATGGCACTGTGGAAATCATTTGCAGAGACTCCATAGGAAGTTAGGAATGGTCAAATAACTCAGTGGCCTTCAGCACAGAAGAGAAATGCAGGGGAACATACCCACAGAAAATGGCACTCCAGGCTCTCACATCCACAGGCCTGCACTTTCCTGTTCTCTGCCTTAGGTCTCTAATTTCCTCACGCTTATTCCTATAGAACTGCTGCCTGCACCTTTGCACCATCATCCATATATACATTAATAGTGGTATGAGCTCTCATACGCTCCCCACTGCCCCATGGTTTGGGGACTTCTATTGCCATTGCTGATTACACATAGGTTTTTGAAAACATAGCACATACACAATTTCCTCTTATTGCCTCCACATTTCAATTACTCCCATCGCATATTGTCTCAGCTTTCTTACTACATTCATAATGAGAAGCCACCTCAACAAAGCCTATGTTAGACAAGAGATTTCTCTCCTATATACTCAGCAAATGAAGTGTCAGCAGACAGAAAGCAATTTGTTCCCAGTCCCAAAGAAGCCTCCAGCTTGATGGAACCACCTCCTCCATTCTACTTTTCCCTGTATCTCAGCACCAGAGAAGAGAAATGAAAGAAGCACAAGAAGAATTAAGAACACACCTTTTAAAAAAATTGTATAAATCACATTCATCACTGGAATTAAGCTGTGTCACCTCCCCACCTCTGGCTTAGCCAGCTCTCTCTCCTTTGTGCAGTGTCCTTATGGCGATCTCCACAGGAAGAAATAAGGGTGGGGAATTCCTCTGTGAGGATCCACTGCTTCTTATTTATGTAGATAAGCGTCTAGCCAGAGTTCCCCTGAATCTTTCAAAGAGCTGCCAAGAGAGAACCACATTTCCTTAGAAACGAGGTAATAAAATACAGCATCTATACTGTCCCATAAACTCGTGGGAAGAATTCCCATCTACAGATTAAGGAAAGGAGATCCTTAGAGACAAGTCAGTGTAGTCTATAGCTCCTTAGAAAAGATAAGAAAGAAGCAAGTCACATGTCTATATCAGATGAAGACTGGAAGGCTAAGAAAACAACCTGAGTAGAATTAAGCAAAAGGAGCAAGCATGGTAGAAGAGAGATGCATGACTTTTCAATGGAGAAGAAATACTGGGGGTGATGAGGGAGGGAATGAAAAGAGGACACCCCCTTCTATGTCCCTTGCTTGTTCACTCTAATGTTGAACAGCCCTTTACCCAGAGAATGCAGTGAGTTGATACATACTATACTATATCTGCAAAGGCGGTGAGTAATGGCTTGCAGTGGTACTCAATACCATGTTTGGCACACAAGGACTTCACCAAAGGGGCCACCTTCCAGTAATTGTGTCGAGGCATTGTAGGAAAAAGGCTGTGGGGAGTGGAAAACAAAGGGAATTCCATTATTGCCTTGCACAGTTCCCATATCTCTTCTGAACCTAAGCTTAGGAGGCACACAGCCTCACTTTATGCCTACAGCCATTAGCATTCTGCAGTGGTCTCTCACACCACTTCATTCAATAGCTGTACTCAGCAGGAAGCTGGCAATTCTCATTCACTCCTATGCCATGCTTCCCATATCAGAAGTGGTTTTGGTACTCACCAGCACTCCAAAAAGTTTATGACCACCGTATG